TCCTGAGGCGTCATCCGCACCGTCCTCAAGTGACAGAGCTAAGCGGAGGGTACCATGGAGCCCAAAGGTGGCTTGTTTAGAGCGAATAGAGTTTAAAAAAAAAAAAAAAAAAGGCTCAATTAGCTGTTATGCCCCTAAATACCCACTAGATGGAGATGTTCCTCAATAAAATTTTGTGCCCACTTTCTTCCTCTGGCTTTGTTTAGTTGCTTTTGTTTTGTTAAGATAAGGTCTCACTTTGTAGCCTAAGCTGGCTTGGAACTCACTGTGTTGACCTGGCTGACCTCACATTCATAGAGATCTGTCTGTCTCTGCCTCTATGAGCCACTATATGAGCCTCCTTGTTTTAATATAACTCTCCCCAGATGTTGTATCCCTCTGTGTGTGTGTGTCTTTGTGTTTTGTGTCATTTCAAATACATTTTGTGAATTTGAATAAATTTTATAGGGAATTCCATACGTGAATATAATGCTTGTTGATCAAATCCATCCCCCCCATTTCATCCCTACAGATTCCTCTCCTATTCCCACCACTTTTTCCTCCCTCCATATGCTTTATTTTTTGAAACCCACTGAGTTCTCTTAGTGATACTATTTAGGCACGGGTATAGGGCTATCTAAGTTGGTAGCATCTCAGAGATCATGTCCCTGAAGGAAACTCACTCTTCCTCCCCAGCAGCCTTCAATTGCCAGTAGCTCCTCAGGTAGGAGTAGGGCTTCATGATAGCCTCCCCCATCCAGGCTGTGATTTTGACTGGCTTCTTATTGTGTGACAGTCAAGCCCAGGAAGATGGCTGTGCAAGCCCGAGGATGTCTGGGTTTAAATCCCCAACACTTACATGGAAAAAAAAAAAAAAAGCAAATAACTGGGTATGGCTACCCTTGCTTCTAACCCCAGTGGCTGGAAGTGGGGGTGGACCTTCAGATTCTTCCAAAAGAAGGAGAAGAAGAAGAAGAAGAAGAAGAAGAAGAAGAAGAAGAAGAAGAAGAAGAAGAAGAAGAAGAAGAAGAAGAAGAAGAAGAAGAAGAAGAAGAAGAAGAAGAAGAAGAAGAAGAAGAAGAAGAAGAAGAAGAAGAAGAAGAAGAAGAAGAAGAAGAAGAAGAAAGGAAGAGACGGAGAGAGGGAAAGAGGGGAGGGAAGGAAGGAAGGATGGAAGAAAGAAGGAGGAAGGGAGGGACGGAGGGAGGAAGGGAGGGACAGAGGGAGGGATGATGGAAGAAAGGAAGGAGAAAGTCATCTTCTCTTTCCAGCATCACTAGAAACCAGTTACCATCAAATACTCTCAGCCTTTTATTAGCATACATACACGCGCACACACACACACACACACACACACACTCCTCATTCCTGCTTTCATGGTGGAACAGTGGCTGCCTCAACCCGTCCTGATGTGACGCTTTCTCTCTGACTCCTGAGGTGTCTGTCAGCTGTCTCTTCAAAGATCCCGATGTTGCTTATCACAGAAGAACACAAGGTACAGGGGAAGAGCGGTGAAAACTGGAGATGATGGTGGGGGAAGATAGAAAAAATAGGATTAGAGGTGGGGGAGAGAGAAAAGGTGAGAAGACAGTGGCTCAAGAGCAGAGAAACAAACAGGAAAATAGCTCCTAGCATCGAGCGTATTCTGATAATCTGAGTTGTGCCAACCGCCCCACACTGGAGCAACAGCTGGGATGAACCTTCTGTAAATTTGTGTCTGCTGCAGTCATTTACTGTGGGCTCCGTGAAACTCCCCAAATCTGAGAGTGATTGTTATCTGAGAATACCGTCAGAAGAGAGCATCCGAGTTTGTGTTCTACTGCCGTGATAAACACCATGGCCCAAAGCAACTTGGGGAGACAAGTTTTTATTTCATCTAATGGATTACATCATGAAGGGAAACCAGGGCAGGAACTCAAGGCAGGACCCTGGAGAAAGGAGTTGACGTAGTACCATACAGTAACTCAAGGCAAGACCCTAGAGACAGGAGCTGACGTGGTACCATACAGGAGCACTGTTTACTGGCTTGCTCTTCAGATGCACCTTCCTTCCTGACACCTCCCAGGACCATTTGCCGAGGGATGGCACTACCTACAGCTTCACATCGATCACCAATCAAGAAAATGCTTCACAAATACGTTTACAAGACAGTCTGATGGAAACATTTTTCTCATTTGAGGGTTTTGCTTTCCAGGTGGCCCTGGTTTGTGTCAAGTTGACAAGACAAGATCTTTACATTCTTCAGGACACAGAAGAAAGTGACTGACAAATTGCCAATATAGGCGGAACTGTCTTTGAAATTCCTGCTTCATGGAAAAGTCTGCTGGATACTATGGGCCTGTAGGCTGAAGATGGATGCCCCAGTGGTACAGAAAATCTTTGGGTGACTGTGCAGGCAGCAAGATGTCTCTGTCAATTCTAGAGTTTTGGAATTTGCTTACAATGCACTTCCTGTTTACTTAGATAATATTATATCCTTCTGGAGTCTTTGATGGAATTGAAGAATTTATAGTTAGAGTTACAGTTTTCCTTAGTTATGATAAAAGATAAAGTATATATAAATATTGTAACTGTAATTCTTGCTTGATACCTGTTTTGTTATATGTAATTTTACTGTTAAAGTTAAAGCCTTCCCTTTTGTTTAAACAGAAAAGGGGAAATGGTGTGGATGGTTCTTCTGTCTATGTGTTGCTTTTATTGGTTAACAAATAAAGAACTGCTTTGAGCCTGTGGCAGAGAAGAACAGAACTAGGCGGGGAAAGCTAGGCTGTATGCTGGGAGAAAGAAGGTGGAGACAGGGAGATGCCATGGAGCCACTGCCGGAGACCGGAGATAGACATGCTGAAACTTTGCTGGTAGGCCATGACCTCGTGGTAATGCACAGATTAATGGAGATGTGTTAAACTAAAATGTAAGAGTTAGCCAATAAGAAGCCAGACCTAAAGGGCCAAACAGTGATTTAATGAATACACATTCTGTGTGATTATTTCGGGTCTAAGCTAGCTGGCTGACCAGGAACAAACAGACCCTCATATTACAAATTTGTGCCCACTTGGCCAACTAAATCCATGGAAAACCTGAGAAGGATTGAAAAGGAATTCTAGACACAAAAAATAGAGTTTAACACAGATTCTTGCTGCTTGCTGGCAGTGTGTGGCAGCTCCTTTCAGAGGGGTCTTACTGATTCAGCAGTAGCAGCTGCATGGTTTTAAAATGGCAGCTTCCCGGCCATGGGCCATGCTGTTAACAGGAACTCTGGCTCTTTGTGGAGACCAAGCATTTTGATGGGGTTTGTGAGCAGCATGCTGTGGCTGCTTGATGGCAATGTGGGCTGGCTGTGTGCCTGGAAATGGGGTAGTGTGTGTGGCTCTCAGAGGCAGTGGATGGGACAGCTCGGGCCATGCTGGACTGGCAGGCCAAGCAGGCAATGCCATATTTCTCTTAGCAAAGGCGCAGCTAAAGTTTTAAAAATGCACTTAGCATTTTAAGAAGTGTTCCCGGACAATAAAGAATTACAGGTACACAGTAGGACAGATTTAGAGATAAAAGGCCTTTAAATGGATCACAGTGTTGGCTAAATGTAAATAGGCTTGGGAAAGAGAAAAAAGAGTATAGAGAGTTGGAAAAGAAGTAAATGGTTTTTTAAAGGGGGTAAAGTCTTTAAAGAGACAGAGTGCAAACAGTAATAGATTAAAGGAATAAAGATAATAAAATAAATATTAAAAAGTAATAGAATAAAAAACAGGCCATGTAAAGATGGAAAATTCACAGAGTCTGGATTATGTATATTTTTGTGTTTTTTTTTAATTTTTTGACTGTGAATGAGCTAAGTGCAGAGAGATAATTTCATTGTATGGACCGCTAAGCTAAACCAGCATGTATATTATAAAGGTATCTTGACTTCAGAATTTGGGTCTAAGGATATGTTGCTTTGGAAAAGAGGTTCTTCTTTTGCTTTCACAGAGGATGAGAACCTGTGGATTGCTTCCAGACCAATATGGTTTGATGGAACAAGACCTCCCTGAAAGGTTGCTGTGAAACCCCCACAAAGAAAATACTTCAACCAATTAACAGGAGGAAGCAGTTTGGAGAAACTACGCCCATATTCTCAAATATTGTTCATAAATGTTCTTTTACATTTAAAGGGCGATATGCACCTCTTTAAGCCTAGCATTTATAACACCTTCATAGCCTCCATCCGTATCCTGGTGTCCATCTGTCCTAAAATGCATATCTATACAGAGTTCATGGCAAGGACTGCACACATGGTTCAGAGATAAGGGAGGCTCAGTTGTCCTTGCTTCCTTGTTTTTATTTTAATGTGTATGGTATGTGTATGCTGTGGGGCCTCAGCTCTGGTTCTTCATGTGCTGCCTACCATTTTTGTTGTTGTGTTTGAGATGGGGGCTCTCACTGGCCTGGAAGTCTCCCATTACATTAGTCTAGGAATCTGCTTGTATCCATTGTCTTAGTTCTGGAATTCAAGAGCATACTTCCATGCCAGATTCTTATTTTGGGGGGAAGCATCTTGTCATATTTGTAGCTTTTGTCAGCCTGAAGCTCAGCAGATAGCCCATATCATTAGGTGCTAACCCTAACCCTTAACAATAATCCTCCTGCCTCTGCCGATTAGACAGCAGGATCACAAGCGCTCACCACCATACCCAAAGACTTTGGAAAATGATTCTCCTGGGCTCTGAACTGTTCATTCAAAATCTGTTTTCTAGTCCAGGTGTGGTTGTGCACACTTTAATCCTAGCACCTGGAGGCAGAAGTAGACAGATAAATCTCTAAGTTCAAGGCCAGCTTTATCTACATAGTGAATGGTAGGCTAGCCAGTGCTATACAGTGAGACCCTGTTCCCCCAAAATAAAAATATTTTTATTCGCAATGAACAGTTACAAATCAAGAGTGTAAATTGATAGTTACACTGGGGATGTGTGGCTCAAGGGGTAGGTAGGGACATGAAAGAGATCACAGTCTTGTGAAAAGTGCCAAAAAGAAAGTAAGAGTTTCCCATCCAAAGTACAATCAGTGGTCTTTATTTCTCCCCTGTTGGTTAAAGGAGTCATGAAAGGTTGCTGATGTGTTTAAATGTGAAGAAGGATCATGGGAGTGCCAGTCCCCAAAGGATCAAAGCAAGGCTCTCATTAGGGAAAGACCAGCCAGAATGGATGCGATGGACCGGAGAGGAGGGCTCCCTCTGGAGCAGACGGTATCGATCTTTATGTCTATCCCGATGGTTATATTCTTCAAGTTGCAGGCAGATTTTGTCGCGCAGCCCATTCCGTGTATCACATGTGGGGGAAGGTTTTCAGTCACTTCTGTTAAAGAAGAGACCCAGCAGTCACTCTTCTCTCCCATATCGTCCCCCCCTTCTCACCTACATCCTTCAAAAGGGAGCTCTGGGGGCTGGAGAGATGGCTCAGTGGTTAAGAGCATTGTCTGCTCTTCCAGAGGTCCTGAGTTCAATTCCCAGCAACCACATGGTGGCTCCAAACCATCTGTAATGAGATCTGGCGCCCTCCTCTGGCGTGTGGGTATACATGGAGGCAGAAAGTTGTATATATAATAAATAAATAAATCTTAAAAAAAAAAAAAAGAAAGAAAGAAAGGGAGCTCTGCTCAGAAGGGTCCAGAATCCACAACTTCCACCACTGCATGAGAACAGGAGCACAGCTCCGTCCACGTGGAGTCGAGCCTTCTTGTCCTCTGGCCCACTGTCTTCCCCATATAGAAGGAATCTTAAAAGGATCCTCGCATCTTAGACACAAGACTAACACTGAGGCCTCTGGGTACCCATGTACTGGGAGAGATGAGCTCAATGCAGGTGAGGAGGAAGGCCAGACGCAGGGTCTCAGCTGTTGGCTAGAACCCTTCAAGTGGGCCTGCCTTCCCCTCCCTAACCTCTCTCTCCTTCTCTAGGAGGGAAATATTGTGGATCTCCCGCAAACTGACATTCCTTCTCCTGAGGGCTCTGAGTTCCCTATGAGAACAACTATAGAATGCACCTTATATCTGTTTCCCAAGGTAAAGCACCCCATTGCGGATGGCTTGAATCCTCCTTTGCGTTCTGTGACACCCCATTTTCTTGCTTTGTCTCAACTCATCTAGACAAAGGGCCTGTCCACTGTTCATCCCAGAACCTCTGTCAAAATTTTTCCCAACTAAAAATATAACTTGCCCCCAGGACTCTCAAGCTCTCCGTCCACCACTTAGTTGGCTCCTAATACACCACGCCTTTCACAAAAACCTTTCCATATATTGTTCAGGAAAGAGTTGCCAGCTCCTCCTTTAGCTGTGCATTCCAGAAAGAAAAATCTTACAGTTGTTTTCCCAGTTCCTGTCTCAATGGTATATGGATCCTTCATAACTAACATAATTTTCTCTTAATTAATATATATACATATATGAGTGTGTGTGTGTATATATGTATATATATATATACATATCTTTTATATCTTTTTCTAAATCTAGAGTGACACCAGGTAAAACTTGAGTGCTTAATTGCAGGCTTTGGTGGCCACAATGGCAACAGTGGTAAAGACATCTGGACCCCCAAGTGCCATCACCTCCTATACTTCTAGTGAGCTAAGGCTCCATTCCGGGATATGACAGCAACGCGGGTGCCCAGACCTGACTCCTCTAGGGGAAGGAGTTACATTCCTTCTTCAGCTTCCCTTCCCTCCTATTCTTAACCCTTATCTCCAACAAATGGCTCCTTCCAAACCTTACAGACACATGGCCCATAGGACCACTTTCTCCACGTGGAGACAGGTTTCAAAGATGGCCCACAGAGTCCCTTCCATCTCCTGGCAGCTTCCACCCGTGTCCAGTCAAGGTTGCTCTAAACTACCAACAGTCTATAAGAGGAAGTGTGTTATTTCTGGGATTAAAGCATTAAATCCACAGCTCCCCTTTTCTATCTGTGTCTCTATCGTTTGCCCTGAGGAAAGCCAGTGGTTAGTCAGGAGAACGCGATGAAAACTACAAAGAGACCGAAAGAGAAAGAATCGAAACCCATCAGAAACCACAAGTGAACACAGCCCTTAGGACACACCCTGAGCCAGGACCACGTTCCTGGTCATTCTCGGGTTACAGATCTACACACGCTGAGATGCAATCAGTGTTTGCTGTGTTCAGTTGCTGTGTGTGGAGTGAGGTTGTGGTCTTAACAAGATGTTCGAGGAAGGACTCGTACCTCTTCCAGTAACCTCCACACACTTCGTCTCTACTCCGGTGCACTTCAGGGGAACCTGGTGACACGTGCCATTGTCACTGAAACAGGCAGGGCATTCAACACCATTGGGTTGGAGAGATGGCCGAGGCCCTGAATGGAGAGAGAAGAGGGGAATAGGCAGAAGAAATAGCTGAGAATGTATCTACCCACTGTTCATCAAACACTGGTTCTCCTCACGATTCTACCAAAAAGCACTGCAGCTAGAACAAGCTGGAGGGAGGCCCAGGAGAAAGATGAGCTGGAAGGAAGTCCAGGAGAAATGCCCTGCTCTGTGGGTACAGTGACGGATCTCACAGAAATCCCATGCTCTCCTCACCTTCATCAGTTACTCGGCTCTCGGTCCTGGAGGAAAAGTCATAAATAGACAGCCAGAGCTACACAGAGAAACCCTGTCTCAGAAAACAAAACCAAAAACAAAGGAAGGAGTCTAGATAATGGGAGAAGAGATCATCTGTTTTCTAGAAAGATGCTGTTCACGGGGTGAGGAATGAGTCGGGGTGGTCACGCACACACCAACTCCCAGCTGCTCCTGTGGAGGCTGAGCGGAAGGATTGCTTGAGACTAGAGGTTCAAGGCAAACTTCAGAAACACAGCAAGGCTACTTCTCAACAAAACAAAAATGGACCTGAGAAATGAGATGGGTGAGAAAGCCTGTCAGTCAGAGAGGCAGAGCAGAGCCGCTAAACCAAAAGACACGTAGAGAAAGTCCCCAAGACCAAGTCCTGCCATCCGACTGTCGCTCAGTCTACCACACAGGAAAAGAGCCTGTATCTATCTCAACCCATTTTCAAGGAGCACTCTACACAAAAGGGAGGCAAGCATCAGTGCTGTTCCCCGGCACCGAGAGAACACAGAGAGGCAAAGGAGACACAGAGCAGATAGCAGAGGCACAGCCACTCACCGCTTTTGGGCTCTTGGTTGCACAGCTCAGTGTAGCAGCATTGGGAGTCATATGTAAACGTCCGATTGCCCCCCAGGGTTGCTGAGAACGCTAGCTCAGTACACTCGTCTTTAGAACAGCCTCTCTTATGGAGCCTTAGGTCTGTGGCTGGTTCCGCTGAGAAACAAATCCCCATGAAATGATCTCTTCTGAGGTACAGAGAGAATGAAAGAAGCATCCAGGGGTAAGGAAGCTGTTCCTTCATTCTCTCTGTCTTTATGTTTCCTTTTCTCCCAAAGGCCCTCTGTTATTGTTTCTGAGAACAAATGAACAGAGGGACACTTTGTTGCGATGGGTCTGAGGTCCAGTAATAGAGTGTTTGCTTAACGTGCATGGGGCCATGAAATTGATCCCTAGCATGGCAAAAAGAAGTGTGGGTTCACTCTCCCATAACTCTATGAGGCTGATATAAGAAACAGAGCCAAGGACTCCCCGTTCTGTCCCTAGGGACTACATCCAGTATCATTGCCCATCCCCACCACCTCCCAGAAGCCCACACTCCCAGCCCCATCCTTCAAGGAGGCAAGGATAAACTAGACACACAGTAAGAGTGCAGATCAGCTTACGTGGTGCTTTAAAATCCTGCGCTCGGTAGAAGCAGCCTTTAGAGGATTCACAGGTCCTTGGATTAGACAAGCATCTCCCATTAACGCATTCTTTGTTTTCACATCTGTAACTCTCTGCGAAAGGGAAACAAACAGGCTCAGAAACTCATCCCAGGGCTTTGCAGCTGCTGGCAAGCTTTCCCTGGGGTCAAGGAGTCACGAATGTCAAAGGGATCCCTGAAGGCTTGAGCGATCCATGGCGTCCCCCGAAAGGCACCTTACTGCCCAGCTCCCACTTCCCATCCTTTTCACTCTCACCCACACAGCTGACAGACAAGTGGGTGACGATGCAGACAGCAAGGAGACTCTTCAGAACCGAGGACCACGACATGGTGACTCGCATGAACACTGTGCAAGAAACAAGTGAGGACAAAGGAGTCAGAGCTAAGAGGCTCAGCCCTTGTAATCCAGCAACCCAAATGTCAGGCAACAGTATCTGTCTGTGCTTTCACTCATCCACTAATTCATTCTGCAGGCCAAATGTTAGCCAACACTGGCTTTACACTAGATACGGCCCTTTGGCAGGAACCAAAACTGGCAAAGATGCTGTATCTACCACTAGGCTACAAGGGAAGAGTCAGTCAGCCTGGGAAGGAGTTTTGCTCAAGGCAGATTCTTCCTGCAAGGGTCTGGAAGGTACCTTCCACGGCCGAAATGGCCGAGGTGGTCAAGAAGTGACTCCTCCGGGGAGCAGGTGGAGGCTCTCTCTATGTACTGCAAAGTTCTGGGCCATGGCGCTCATCAGCCCCTCAGCTAAGGCTCACCATTTCCAAAGGCATCATTTCACAGAGTCAGCCTCCGCCACCAGGTGTCAGCACACACTGAAAACGCTCACCGAGAAGACCTGATGCCCTGAGCCGGAGGAGGAGAGAAAAGCCAGTGTTCTCTCCTTGAGACAAGGCGGAGGAGAGCGTGCACAGGAACGCTGAGGATGGGCTCTCTCTCTCTCCTCATTGTTGCTGACTTTTGCAACCTAGCGGCCGTTCTCTCGCAAGTTAACATTGTAACTTGATAGAGTCTTAGCATGAAGCCAAGTGCAGTAAACTAAACTGACCCGCTAGAGCTGGACACCATGGGAACAGCTCTTCCTGGACCTCTGGCTTGCAGAGGAAGGAAGAGGAGGGGAGAGGAGGGGATCAAAAGGCCTCTGGGCCTCAGTGAGCTATGCAGGGGACTTCTGTGTTTAAAAGTTATGAAACAAGCCGGGCAGTGGTGGAGCACGCCTTTAATTTCAGCACTCCAGGAAAGCAGAGGCAGGTGGATCTCTGTGAGTTTGAAGCCAGCCTACTCTATAGAGTGAGTTCCAGAACAGCCAGAGATACACAGAGGAACCCTGTCTCGAAAAAGAAAACAAGTTACGAAACGAAGTTTGGCTTGCTGTGTGTGCCTAGCATCCTCCACATTCCCTCAAGGCAAATCCTAGCATTGGCTCTGTCCGCTGCCACCCATTCCTTCCTTCTTGGATTCAAACCTTAAGACACATGTGCATTTTTGCAGGTGAGGGACTGGGCTTGTTTTTCTACATTTTTCTCTCTCTTTCTGCCCATTTTTAGGAACAAGTGTTCCATTTCTCTTCTATGGAGAGAAGGGGAAAGCTAAAGGAACTCGCCCTTCCTCCACCTTCCTGCAATCATCTATATCTTTATCATGTTTTCTCAAAATCCAGGACTGTGCCATGGGAGTGAGGGCAAGGAGAACCTTCCTGGGAACCCAATATGCTGAGCGGTGAAGAAAGTGAGGGCCGTAGGAAAAGAACAGCAAGCATGTCCAGAGGCCCCCAGAGGTTGGTGTGTAGAGGTATAGGAGGGACACCATGACCCGTCCAAGATCAGCAGAGCCTCAGTTGCAATCTACCAAGGCCTGGATGCTGGGCAAGGGAAAGGTTCCTGCTGCCCACACTAAGCTGACAAGAATATCAGGAGATACCGGAGCATGTGCTTGGAAAATCTGCCACGGCCCGACAATGGCCAGGTGGAGACCATGGGTCCCTGATGAGGATCCATCCTCCACTCCAAAGAGTGTTAATTAGAAAGCAACCGGTTGTCAGGGCCTGTGAGATAATGGCCAGGATCTGGCGCACAAATCCCGGTATTCTTTCCTAGAGTTATGTCCCCAGGGCCCCTTTGCCTATTGCCAGCGTAGGAAGGAATCCCAAGTCCCTGCCTTACAGAATCATGAATTCCCCACACAACCCACCCCCACTCCACTTGACTTCACGTCCTCTCCAGGCTTCTCAGTCAACGTCCAAGACTCTACATTTCATTCTTCTCTTACCTGCTCAGATTCGTGAGCCTGCTAGTCCTGGACCGTGGATTCCCGGCCAGGTGAAGAAGCTCGAGATAAGAAAGGTGCCTGCAAAGAAGGTATGAGGCCAAGAGACCAGCCTCAGAGCAGAGCCTGGAGTAAGACCTTGATTAACCTTCACTAGGCTGTCCTCTACTGCCAGAGGCCTGGATTCTACCCAGCAAGCCAGCAGAAGAGAGCTCACTCTGTCACTATGAACAGCAACCCGAGGTCACTGTCATAGTGGCAGTGAGAACAAAGTATGGCACCCCACTGACCGGGAACCACCCAATTCTGAACCAACTTCCTGCTCCCAGGGCAAGGCCTCAGCGAAATCTCCATGGTGAAAACCGGCCAGATATGTGCTAACCTGTGGTCAAAGGAGATTGAGCATAATGCTTACTGGAGACATAGAGGATTCACTGTCTGGTTTATATCCCCTGCACATTTGGCTTCAAAATGGTCCCAAGTCCCCTCAAGGGCTCTCCCTCTCACACTCATTCTTGCCAAAACATCATTCTGCAGAATGACAGCAGCCAGCGGGGCATCTGTAGAGACCCGGGTGCCTAGAGATGACAGTCTTTCTCGTTCTACTGTGGTGTATAACAAGACCTGACAGCCTTGAGTGGCAGGGGACCCTTTATCCTAAGAAGCCCATCCTGGGAAGGGGTCCTTCTCCTCTCTGTGGGTTGCCTATGGTTAGAGGAAGCTGATACACGGGCCTAGAGGCTGCAGCAGCCTGAGCAGGAATAGAAGAGGGCTTGCCTGATCTTAGGAGATTTCTGACTTCCAGGACGCCAGAGCCAAGCCTGCTGAGAGGCAGGGTATAAATCATAGACTTCAAAGCTTAACAGCTTTAATAACCAGGTCTGACTTCAACTAGTGAAATCAACTAAACAAGTAATAATAAAGAACATCCAACAGTGTCTTATTCAAAGTGGCCACACTGGGAAGAGAGGCAAACACGTTTGGTGACCTACCCACCAGGACCATCTTTAGGATCCTGGCATGAGGTTTCTGCTTCAGTATAACGCCGGTCATATGCCTAAAGAAGCAGTCCTGGCCAAAGTGCGACCCCACCCATCACTGCCTAGGCTCCAGTCTCTCCTGGAAGGCAGTTTCTAAGCGCCTTGTTAGATCATCCCATTCCTACCCAGCAGGTCGCTTATACTGGCATGTGTGGCTGGAGGTTAGAACTCCACCCATCCAAGACTTCACCTGTTCTAATGGACAGTGGATCCCCAGGGAATGAGGAGAGAGAGCAGCGTGATGGGGACACAGCCCAGTCAGAGTGAGCAGCAGAGGCAGAAAGGCCCTCTCTTGGGTTCAGCGCCTGTGGCCCAGGGGAAATACTGACAGCAGGTGAGAACAAAGGCAGAAGAAAGGTGAAGCTTCCAGCAAGTCAGGCACCTGTGCCCTGGGGTCAGAGATACACTCAGATTCGATGATTAAATAACGCGGCCCAGCTCCTGGCTTCTAGGTGGTTGCTCTGCTTGGTGAAACTGGATGGAGTCCTGCAGCTGCAGACTCTGTGATCTTCTTGCCTTCTCTCTTTCTTGGCCATATTTTGAAATCTGGTGTCTCAGAAAGTCAATGGGCACAGGGAGCTAACTCTAGAGAAGTGCCCCTGGGTTCCACTTTGAAGCCCTTCCACACCTAGCTGGGCTCACTCAGGTTATGGAGGAAGAAAAGTTTTATATGCATGTTTCTCTGAGAGAAGCTTGTTCCCTCAGTGTCCTGTGTGAACTTTTGGATGCATGGTACCAGGCATGACGTCACTCTATACTTGGGAGACCATTGCTGCCTCATCGGGATGAAACATAGGTCAGGCCCCAGAGTGGTACCCAGCCTCCCTATCCCTCCTCTTTTCTGCTTCTGTGCTCCTACGTCTTAAAATGACAAGGGTGTGCTTTGCCACACAGGGCACACAGGAAGGTCACATAGGCTGTGCGGGCCGTGAGAAATGGGCAGGTTAGACTAACGGCGGTGGGCTTCAAGCTGTAGAGTGGTCCCTGGTGGTCTGATTCCTACCTAACCTGTGACGATTAAGGTGGACACGTTCTCCCTCCCTGAATGTATAGACTGGGCAGAGGAGGTGCTGCTCTGCTGGTTTGAGTCTCACAGATATTTTTTTATGTGACGATGACACTTTGCTGTCTCTCAGAACTTGTTAGCTCTCAGAAGGTCAGTGTCTCCCCCAAAGAAAATGGTATTCTATTCTGTTTCATTTTTAATGTGTCAAAGCAAAATAATAGATGAAATTATGTATGTACACACACACACCCACACGAATGCACGCGCACACGAGCACACACTGCATAGCACCTGCACTTGTCACTACAGAAGTGATATCGATCACCAACTGCCCTGAGAGTTGCCACAAACTTCACTAACATCGACAGACGTGAGCGAAAAAGGAGGGAAGGATGTGGGCAAGTTGGTGTCAACAGATGCATTTTGAAATAGAAAAAGCTCACAAAACAAGAAGTTGTGAAATAATGAGCTGGGAAATGAGATCTTTTTTAAAAAAAAAAAAAGGAAGACTTCTAATATTCTTACCACAAAGAAATGACCAATACTTGAGGATATAAACATTATTGTTGAGATTTAACCATTAAAAAATGTAGACATTTGTAGAAATAAACCATCATATTCAGGAAGTATAAGATTTGTAAAAACATACACATGATATATACACACGTGTGTATATGAAAGACAGTGACAAAGGGTTGAGGGCAGAGGGATGACAAAGGCATCGGAGATCACCAGCAGTGGCCAGACTGCACCTTCAGTCTACAGCAGCTACCTTATCAACAAGGTCACCAAAGGAAGGGGAGTGAGCCAGAGTGGAGGTAAGTCTGTACAGTCCACGGGCATCCTGCACAAAGCAATCACTTTGATTCTCAGCACTTCATAAACCTGGGCATGGTGACATGCACGCACAATCCCAGCACTCGGAAGGCAGAGGGAAAAGGACCACAAGTTCAAGGTCATTCTCAGATACTCAGCAAGTTTTAGACCAGGTTTGATTGTGTGGGGGGAAAAGTCTCAAGAAAGGGAGAGTGAGAAGGGAATCCTTGACTTTATATAGGAGATACTTTCACCAATTTTAGAATTTAAGTAATCAAACAAGATTTGAATACTTTGAAAAGGCATGAGGTTGATCTGCAAATATGGTAGGTTATATAAAAAAACAAATCCTGAGGCCCCTTAGGTAACAAAGGCATGTGTGAGGCAGAGATGCCCTGCTCCGCAGAAAAACATCTGGTGTGTTCCTGGAAAAGCATCACATCTCAGATGATGCTCTGATTTCTGACCTACACGGTCACATAAACCCTCTCCAACTACTGACAAGAATAGAGATTTAGAGGCAGGACCCAAAGAGACAGGAACAACAGAGACAACCAGAGGTGTCACTCACTCCCTGTGACATCATCAGAAGACACAGGTATCTGGTCATCTTCCACAGGCTGTCACATGCCTGGGATCACTGGGCCATGCAATACATACAGTTCAGCACCACAGCCTGGACTGCTAGCCCACTTCAGGAAATTCCCATGTTCAAAACTGTTGCAGTCACTATAGCCAAAATGCTGGATGACAGAAATGCTCTCACACTTTCTCACATAGATGCTCTCTCTTTCTTTCTTTCTCTCTCTCTCTCTCTCTCTCTCTCTCTCTCTCTCTCTCTCTCTCTCTCTCTCTCTCTGTCTCTCTCTCTGTCTCTGTCTCTGTCTCTCTCTCCATCTGTATAAGGAGCTGGAGGGAGGTTTGCTCCCTTTTCTGCACCAGTAAAGGCAGTTGCATGCAAAATGGTACCTCAGTTTAGCCCCATGCATATCAGAGACCTGTTTCCCTTCACAGCCTGGTCCACAGACCCTTCATCTACACCTTACACCTGACCCAGTAATCATCAGAGATGCAGACCAACATCTAAGGTTTCTCTTACATGAACCTGCTCATCAGCTCTAACCCCAGTCCGTGGTCACTAGATCATCCTTCCAGGAGGTCACAGCTTTCTGATCGTGAACTAATGTAGCGTTCAGAAAATTTTAGCATAATTTTAAAAGAAAAATATTGCGATTAAACTTGAGCTCCCATCAATGAACTGCTTTTTCTGTTAGTAAAGAGGCAGACCTTCGAAGTACTCAGTCTGAGGATGGCACGGCTACCAGGCTCCAAAATGACTCATAGCCAACTCAATTTCTTGGTTTCAGCTAAGTCCACTGAGATGGGCAGACATTGCCTCATCTGCCACTCTCCTCCTCCCCATGAACACTGGAGCATTTGCCTCCAGTAATGTCTGCTGCCCTTACTTAAAAGCCTCCCTACAGTCCAGTGGTTCTCAACCATCCTAATGATGCGACCCTTTAATACAGCTCTTCATATTGTAGTGACTCCCAACTATACAATTATTTTGTTGCTACTTCACAACTGTAATTTTGCTACTATTATGAATCTTAATATAAATATCTGATATGCAACCCCTGTGGAAGGGTCATTCAATCCCCCCAAAGGGGTCAAGACACATAGGTTGAGAACTACTACTCCACTCATTGTCACTGCCCCCATGGAGACAACAGGATAAAACTATCCAGTTCTCCCTCAATTACAGATTTTGAACTAAAAGTGGTGTCCCCTGTCTTGAGCTTTCAAACCTTCTGACTGCTCCAAATGGTTGTGGACAGACAGAGCATATTCACCAGCCCATGAACCAATGTTCTAACATGCAAACAGACTAGAAGCAGGGAGAATAAGCTCTATGGGTTATCAGGGACAGAATACATTCTTCAAATTCATTATTAAGTACTTACACATTCATGTATTCGAATGTAACTGTATTTGAGAACACGGTCTTCTGAAAAATAAATCAAAATGAGGCTATCTGTGTGGGCCCCATGCAAAACAACAAGAACAACAGGCAGGGACCTGAGTTAGGCAGGGTTCAAACCATATGAAGCCAGAGGAAGCAATGGTCACCTAGAGTCCTCAGAGAAACAAGAAGTACCAGAATCAAAGGACAGAGACCCTGCTGGGCATCCCTCTGTGGTGCATTACTATGGCAGAGTTGCACACTCAAATTCTGGTAGACCAGAAGACTGGAATCGTCCAGCTTCACAAAAACACTGTGTTTGCTTTAAAAGAATTCTAGACAAACTACAACGTAGACTCGGGGAAAGAACCACAGGCAAGTTAACAAGGTCCTGTTAAGTTCTTGTTCAAAATCCCAAATGTGAGTACTCAAAGACAGGTCCACCTTA